GGAGGGGGAGGGGGGAGGGGACAGAGGGACAGGGATGGAATCGAGAAGGTAGAAGGGAATGGAGAGAGCTCACCTCGAAAGCGAAATACAACAAGTCCCGCCGCCATTGCTGGATCACCCTTCAGCGGGAGTTTTGTCGTCGCGTGGGTGGGGGGTTGACAGCCCCGTGCGACGAGAATCAGTCTCACCCTTCCCGACCGACCCGGTCGAGCCCGGCACGACCCCGGCTTCCCTGCTTCCTGGGGGCAGCGAAATGGAAGCAGGGGATGCGCGGGGAACGCCGGGGTAGACAGGTCGAAAACTCCGCCCCCGCACATCCGCGGGGAAACGAGTCAATACTATCACTACCTTCCGCCCCCGCGTTCCGCCATGCCTATGCTCGCCCTTTCTCGCCAGAGGATGGATATCGAAATTCGTTATCCAACTCTAGCGACCCTCGCGGGACTTACGATTGCTTGGATAGGGGGAGGGTTGATCGTAAAAGGGTTCGATACAGGTGTCTTGCAGGAAGTGTCGATTTGTTGTGTCTCACTTCAACGATTGCGTCGAGCGAGAAATGTTCTTTTAATCCTCAGATACATAGGCGATACATTTTGTACGTCCTACCTGGAGTGAGTCTGATCATGATGGGATTAATCTACTGAGAAATCTTCACAAGCCGGCTTTCTATATCCAATATCAATGAAACAAGATAGATTCGAAACAAATAATAATAATTTTACCTGTATCCTCTTTTTCTACTTTTTCAGGTTTAATAACTAAAATCAGGAATAAAAATTTGCAAAGTTACAAATCAACTGAGTTGTAACTGAAGAAATAAGAAAAAAAGCTTTTTCTACAAAAGCATAATGTTCAATTATTCAAAGATACTTCTTTCAAAACGTGAAATATATTATCGGAAAAAATTTATCTTTTTTATTTTTTTGGTCTGAAATATTTTGAAAAATTAATAATACAATGTAACATTGTTATTAAATATTGGATACACATAAATTTTTAAGTAAAAAAATGGAGGTTTTTTAACAGTTGTTAACAGAATACACTTTTAATTATAGATTATGCAATCGCAAATTAAGAACGGATATGCAATATATATATAGATATATACAGAGTGTGTGTGTGTGTGTGTGTGTGTGTGTGTGTGTGTGTTAAAATTTTTTATATATGTATATGAAAAATATTTATATAACATGATGCAAAGTTGGTTGAAGTTTACCAGATGCTTCTTCTTTCGAAAGTTCAGAGGAATGGAGTCTGCTCTTTTCCCTCAATTATTCTCCGTGGTTCGCCGCCTGACTCCGCGCGTTTCGTAGATCCGCTCGAAAAGGCATTAAGGACGCTCACCCCCTGCGCCAGGGCGTTTAACTCCCCGATTGCTTTGACAACTTAAGCAGGCCCTTAAACCTCGCTCGAGCCCCGATGTAATTTATAAGCGGCTGAGGGGGTAACTCCACCGGGGACCGTCAAACTGCCATGTGGCAAAACCCTCGTCGGCAGGGGAAAGTCAGGGATTATGCGGTGATAAATAAATATGTACGTTTATGCAACAACCGCGCCGGAACGGAGTTGCGGGGGTGCAGATATATACGTTGTCGCGTTGTAGTCAAATCGCGACCGAAGTCAAATCGCGTTTCAAGGGGATTGCAGGATGAATCCACCCCTCTTCTCGTCAAACACTGAGTGATCTTTGAGCTTTGATTCCCCATTCAAAGAATTTCACTTACTTATTTTCTGAAACTTGCTGTGTTCTTGCGATTGATTACTAATTAAATTTATCATATCTTAGATAGATCTAGAATATTATCTAGAATATTTTCCTGTATATTGCCATGTAATATTTCTCACAATTTTATTTTAAAAATATATTGTGATTTTGTATTTTCAATGATAATTTTTTTCTATTCTGTTTACTTTTTTATTATATTTATACTTATAGTCTTTATGTCAATATCAAATTATTTTTAATGTTATTTATTTATTACCAATTACAAGTAAATTAAAATATGTTTTTCTAAAATTCTAAAATTTTTCTAAAATTTTGTATTATAATTGATGCTCACCTTATAAAATTGTGTTTGATTAGGGAAGACGTTATTGGAAATTTTAATACGATCAAGAATAAAATGTAGAATAAAATAAAAATAAGTGAAATAAATAAGTAAAATAAAAATAAAAATAGTGATAATAGTAAATCTACGAAAGAGTGAGTCTGTGACGACAACTCAGTTAATCAGATTTATTTTTATTACAAGTACTCGTTACAATATATATCACCGACTGTGAGAATACGTAGACTTTTACAGCGAATAGTATCACAACACGAAATATACAGAGAAAGTGCGGATGAGCGTTTTTTTTTACAGCGCCAAAAGAAACCAATCTCACACACCTTCGTGAACCAAATTACTTTCATTAATCGATATTATGGAACATTAAATTTCATGAATTTGTATTGCTGCCTCGTTTATTTCCAAATGCGATTTAATTCTGATTTTGTAATATATTGTCACGGTTTATTAATCATGTCTGTGGTGCTGATAAATTTATCCGTCGGTATAAAAAGGGAAAAGAAAAATTTTAATTGTGTTAATTTTTTAAATAATTTTATCGGAAATTTATATCGCGAATGTATATTTCGTGAAATAATTGATCTCAGTATTGCATTTGCATGGCGTTCACAAAGCTGCAGAGTGTTCATTGCCCACTCCCCCGTCACTTTCCTCTCTAATTCGATAGCTTCACGACGAAACTTAAAGGTACAAAGAGAAGGAAAGGAAACGAAATATCCCCGCTCTTTTCGTAATTAATTCCGGATTAATCGATCTTCTACGAAGAACGAAAAATAACGCTCTCAACGTGCCGAGCCTAACGCCCGACTAAATAATGTCTATAATAAATAAATACATGTATATATCTATGTGTGTATATTACGTCCGCGATTGTACGTGCCCCTCCGGTCGTACTTAGTTGTCCGTTTTATTTCGTTATTAGCGATGCCACTTCTTTCTAGTGCCTCGCGTTGTTACGGTAGAGATGCTCGCCAACTACGTAACGGGTACCGTTACCGTAATCATCACGGAGGGACGTTAGGTACGTTCGTTCCTTACGGTCCGTCGATCGTATCGGTACGGCGAAGACCCGCCACGCCCTCGCTCCTTCGTATCCTTTACTTATTTAGGTAAAGGACCTCCGCCCGGCCCACGTCTCCGCCTGTCCTTCCTTTCGTATGATTGTATTTTGTTCCTTTCCGGTAGTACATCTTGTCTCTCCGTTCCTACGCGCCAAACTTACCTTTTCGGTAGTCGTGTGAGGTTCTACGTTTTTTTTTTTTTTTTTTTGTCGTGGCGTTCATAGCAAAGGAAAATCTCCTCTTGGTACCACCGAGAGATGATTTTAATTTTTGTACATGTCGCAAAGGACCTTCTCCATCGGCGTGTTGCCGATGGTCCTGTGGAAGTAGATCAGTTCCACTCTCGCGGCTGGAACCGTTCGCAGCAACGGCAGCAGCAACAGCAATCTGCCGAAGCGGGCTGGACTGTTCGGCTGTTGGGCGCGCGCGTGATGTCCGAGCATCAGCTGCGCCTGATCCTGCAGATTTTCGATCTGGCTCGAGTCCTTTAAACCGCGGGTTTCTACAATGAAAAATCGCCTTTCCAGGAGCGCACGCTCGCGAGTTTACGATATTGAAACAAACAAACTAGCTCAAAAGTGAAGAAGACATTTTTACACCCACCACATTCTCAGAAATTATTTTTTCAAATAAAAAAAAAAGGAGTGCGGTTTTATAATTAAATGCAGAGAAAAATATACTCTTCAATAAACAAGTGTAATGTGTTAAATTAAAAATTAAAAAAATATAAGTCGCTAAATATAAGTCGGAGAAATCGCGACTGTTGTCGCAAAAGGAGATAAAGTGGAAGGTCGCTAACCTGGACGAAAGAGAACGATGGCCTTCATACAGGCGAATTCTGCAGGATCGACCATGATCGCCTTGTATCTCTGCAAGGTATCGTGTAAGTGTCTGACATCCGCCGCTACTTGGCTGGGCTTCCCCGTCGTGGTTTGCAGATGCAACCCCGAATGCGGATGCGGATGTGGCGAGAGGGTCAGAGCGGTCAGCTCAGCGGCGCTGAAGAGAGGCGAAGATTCGAGCGGCAGACACCATTGAACCGCGTTTAGTAAGAACAATTCCGACCAGACTTCTTCCAGTAATATCACCTGCGCAATTAGCACGAACAATCGGATACTTATGATTTATTTAATATATCTTTATTGTTTTTTTTTTAACGCCATCATTTTAATTATATATCTAAATTTCCCCGTAATCCCCTGTATCTCTCTATATAATTATAATAAACTACAAAATAATAATAATTAAACACGTTACACTGGGATCGTATTTTTCATTTGTCGCGTTTGCATTGCACGAATACGCAAGTATTTACGGGTCTGATTAATCTCAACAACTTCTACCGCCGCGATTCTGCTATTCATCAACGTCCAAATAAATTATCAAATAAATACATGCTAAAATATATGCGAGATATATTAAATTAATAATAAATATATGCTTGCAAAGGGGAGGATTACAAGTGAGGATTGCGATTAATTTATTAGGATTGATTACCTGATCTCTGAACGGCAAGCCAGCAAAGGAGGGAAGATTCTTCGCCCATTTAACTGCCATGAAGAGCAGCCTCGCGCTGGTTTCGTAAACCGTTTCGGCGCTCGCTGGTGAATATAACGACGGCAGTACAGGTGGAAGCTGCGTGCATCCGCTTCGTTGAGGTGTCAATGGTTCTTCGTTCGTTACGTCTATGCTATCCTCGGATGCATTTCCTATTCAAACACGCAAAACTCTTTCTTCATGTAAACATAAAGTTTTCCCTAATAACGATAATAACCAGAATGACCAGGACCGGCGCAAATTTAGAGATAGGATTAGAAGCAGCGGAATCTTTGGAATTAGGAAAACTTTAATGCATCTTTGTTAAAATCATATTAATTATGCATATTTGATTAAAATTTTTCTTCAACCTTTCTTTTTCTTTCTCTCTTGCGGCTTTTATTTTTCTAGATAAAAATATTTTTATTATTATTATTATTATTTTAAAAATAATGTTAACGAGTTTTTATAAGCGGTTACGGTTGTATTAAGTAAATAGAAAATGCGTACCATCCTCGTTGTCTTGCCGTGGTGGTGTTGCCGCGTTGTTTGTGGAATTGGTCGTCGGTGCGACTGTAGGCAGAGGTAGTGGCGTAGTGTATCTCGCCATGGCTAAGGATACTGGTGGTCTAAGAAATAATTAAAAAGAAATATAAATGTGTGTAATAAAGGACAATTATATATTTGTCTCTCATTTTCTATAGATATATTAAATCTGTTAAATCTGCTGGAGCTTAATTTAATTAATGTTTTAAAATTTGGACAGTGTCCAAAAATGTATTTCAAAATTATTTATTATTAATTTATTATTAATTCTTAAATAATATCATTATTAAATAATATTGTTATTTCCTTTAAATTCAATAAAAAGAGCAAAAGTTTGAAATTTGAATTTTTTTTCCTCTCCATTTGTCTACGGCTACGAAGTATATTAGGATTGCGAGTTCAACGTGTTATAATTTTTCAAACGCAAACTCGATCTGGCGATAAATAATTAAAGTGTAACGACCGCAAGCGACGATCTTCAGTCCGCTTGTGCGCGTGTTTCGTTTGTAGGTTCGTCGTGTTCCGCGCAGGGATATTTTACGTCGATTTCGGGTAGGTAGGCCGGCGAGCAGCGATCACGATCACTCGGGGCAACGATCGAGGAGGAGACGCCGTCGATGCTTTCGTAAAATATTCTTTTCGACGAATCCGATTGCTCGGCAATCATCATGCAAATCTGATGGTACAGATGACGGTTCGCAGTGAGATCGCGGTTAATTCTCGGGCAAAGCAACAACGGCAAAGGTAAACCAATCATCCTATATTTCCAAAATATCCTGGCGTCCTGGTTAAGTTTTTAAAAGTAGGGTTTCTCATGCAAACGATGCCAAATCTGACAACACACATCGTCGATTCACAGCAACGGACGAGATCATTCGTAATTCTGGAGGCGAGATCGCCGGCACCATTACGACGCTCGAGGGTAAAGTTCCGTCGCGACGCCGACGGAAGATCGATGCGGCCGCGCCGGCTTCGCCGCGGAAGATGGCGATTCCGGCCGGCAGAAACTTTGCCAGCTGCTACATGGAGCTGTGCAAACAGCAACGACTGCGACCGTTGCCGGTGATATGCGTAACTCTGCCGCACAGTCTGGATTTTACTACCGATCGCGTCAAGATGGACGACTGGGGTCCGATCTTGAATTCTCTTTCTCTCGATCGCTCGCTCAAATCGATCAGCGTGCACAGCAGGTTTGCGAATCGATCGATTCTGACAATTTCACATTATCCTCCTTGTACTTATGGCATTATTCATTAATTTTAACATAATTTTCTCGAATTTATAGTGCTAAAAAATCATTACCACACACACACACACACACACACACACACATACACACACACACACACACACACATATGTT